GTCGACGGCGTGCCTTGAGTTGGGCAAACTCAAATCGGAGGTGTCGCTCCACACGCACATTTACTTCCTGGTAGCTCAACTGTAAGTTAAACAGTGAGGAAAGTTTGCCGTTGCACCCATCGATCAAAGAGCGCTTCGTCATCTGTAGCGCTTTCGCCAGTGGCGAGCACTACAGGTATTGTCCACATTGCGGGTACACAAGCAGAGCGAGCCAACTCGTTGCGCACGTAGACGAGTGCGATAAGCTTCCAACGGAAATCCTTGTGGAACCAAGAAACGAGCTCGAAGAGCTTTCCGTTTGGCAAGCTCATCTTCCGTAATGGCCGGAGGCCCGATGATGTGGAGGCGTATCGGTCGAGCTACCGCACCTTTCGCTTCCACAGCGGGATCCGCTGGGCGGAAGCCATATTCCCACGAGGGTCAATGACTGACCGTGGATGGGCGCGCATCAGAGCCGCCTTACGGGCAGCTTCCTGCTGTCGCTTCACTGCCTCGTCGAGGTCATTGGTGATGACACCACATCCCTTAGGTACTGAGAGGTCAGGAAACGGACATGAGGTCCGCAAGGCGCGAGCAGGGCTCGTCTCACACCGCTGGCGCTGCTCGCCTTCCTCCTCGTCCCATCCGAGAAAGGAGTGCCAGACTTGTAGTCGACCACACATCCTCAACGAGGTCACTCGTCACTGATAGCGTGCGCGGAGCGCGACGCTTGGGCTCATCAAGCCTAGAATTTACATCCCTCGATGCCTCGGACGCACTGTCCGACATTGTACCGCGTGTGAGAGACGATGTTGGGCTCTGCCCGTGTGCACTGTCAGAACCAGCGAGACTTGGTGACTTCAGTGTCGTTGACACAGGGCTCATTGAGCACGGAAGTCGTTTTGTTCCAAAGAACCAATTTGCAGTATCTAACGGACACGCAAGCCTCGTTGAGGCAATAATCGATTAGAACTGTAAATGTTCTCAATGTTAATGGGGGAGAGTGCAACGGGTTACACCTACCCCGGTAACAGGGGTTTGTGTCACACGAGATGGGCATGGTGTGACTGCACCCTAATAAGAATACGGAACGTGGCTGGGTAGCCAGTAGTTATGCATGTATAATTTCAATATATATTTAGGAAAAACTGTGATTTAAAATTAGGCGGCTTTGAAGATAAAAACAAATAAAATCAGTTTTGAATTTAAAACGAAGAGTTTATTAGCATTGGTTAAGGTTCTATCTACTTTTGGAGGTAGTGGATTGCGATTCGCTACTCTCGTACTGGTTCTTGTAAAGAACGAAAGATCGGCGACCTAACTTACTCTTCCCCGAAGCGCAAAGCTACGGCAGCCCCGCTGGACTTGGTAACAGAGTACCGCGCAGCGCATTGTCAGAGCCGGGATCGCACGACCAAGAACACAGACAACCAGCATTCTGTCTCACACAGAATGTTTGTGACTTCATATAAGAAATCACGTATGTATTTGGGAACACCATACTGTAATATTCTTTTATCTTTTTTTTATTAATTCCCACAATACATACAAAAGCTACGTAAATGTACCTTCATGTAATGGCTAAGTGTAGCACATTACATCATCCCCTCCTTAAAGTCAAAGTACTTTGATACTTTTGCGGACAATGAAGCGATCAAGTGAACAAGTCAACATGAAAGAGCGTTCTTTGCCTGAACGGCATAGAACGGCTCTAGAACTTTTTGACGTTTACTCGATTTTCAACCAAAATGGAGACAAATAGTTCTATATGGAACGGTTCTTTCGTTGGTATCAGATCAGATACCGTGATGATCCGACCCAGCCCATCGCAGCTAAGCTTGACTCTTGGGGGACATTTGTTCGCCTTGAGAACGAAAACAAAACGGAACGTCTGCTTCGATGAGTCGGCGCTGGCAGGACTCCCAGTAACGACTGAGCACAACCAAGCTATGGTCGTCGAAGTGTTGCCTCTAGCAACACTACAAGCAACTCTCGTAGCTGCGGACCAAGTCGGGGACATCAGACGCTAAGGCCTGACGAGGTTCCCTCGTGTCCGAGTACGATGGATACCCGCGCCACCGAGCTCTGTAGAAGCGTTGATGGTTCAACTGCTTCTTTCTACGATGACGAGCCGATCGATCCTCGGATCTACAATCATCATAATCACCCAGCAATGCTCTCCACGAGAGTCTTATAGCGGAGGTGGGGCTGAACGCAAAAACGATTGAGCGATTCTGGAGGCGGAAGGGCGATCATCGCCGGCAAATTTCGACATCGCAGCAGCGTTGCTCGACGCTTTAAGATCGCTGTTAGAGCCTTTCGAACTTTGTTGCAGAGCAGAACTCAAACTCGACGTTCTGACTGATGGTTTGCTCGACTTTGAAGTCCCGTTTTGTAGGATAGTTTCAACAAGTTAATGATGATAATGTTAGACTCAAAATTTTGTGAGATAGCTCACGAACACCTGTTGTGCTCTGTTGATTAGGCAGGCTCTATTCTCATGGTACTCCGTAGTGCTCGCCTTCAAGCGTTGGAATCGGTAAAAGAGCAATCCTTCGATGTTCTTTAGCGCTTGTACGCCGAGAAGAATC